ACTATTTTTTGCTCTTTTTTTCTTTGGTGGATGTCGGAATTTGTAAATTTGCATATGGGATGGAGTTATTATGTGCTTGGATTTTGGGGAGATACAGGCAAAGGAGTTGTAGTTTTTTCTTTCTTTTCCGTTTTCTTTACTCTTTTTTTCTCGAAGGTCGAGCATCAAGAATGAGTCGCAATTAAAAGCACTCCGTATTTTCGATCAGCAATGTCCCTCAAACTGTTTGGAATTATCTAAATCCTTTCGCAACCACAGCTCACCACAACTTAAATCCTCAAACATGCATAAATAACAAACGCCAACTCGTATTCCCGTTTTCTTTCATAAAAAGACTTGATCACGCCATTTTAAAGGGTAAACTATGCCAGAAACCAAGAAACAAATCTGAGACGGCTCGGTGGCAGACAGCATACATGTCAGTGTCAAATCTGCATACGTTAAACCTGGAACCAAGGTGGGGGTTGGCCTAGGGGTGGCCTGGGGGTTGTGGAGTATAGTTTGGGTTTTTGGGTAGAGGGGAAGGGTAGGGATAATGTAGGTGAAAGGGAAGGGGATGTTGGGAGGAAGAAGGTATCAAGAGGGTAGGTAGGGAGGGTAGGGGTGGATATGGGGATCGGAGAGGGATAGCTGGGGTAAAATGGGGGAGGGAGTAAGGGGAGGTAAGAGACAGGAGATGAGGAGGGAGTAGGGGGAAGTGAGGAAGGGGACAGGAGAGGAGTATGGGAGTAGGGTGTGTGGGGAGGTACAGGACAGGAGTGGAATAGGGGGAAGGGACAAGAGAGGAGAAGAGGGAAGAGATATAGGGGCAGGGGAGAAGACAGGGACAGGAGTAGGAGTGGAGATAAGACAGGGAGGAAGAGGAGAGAGGGAATAAGGGGAATGAGGAAGCGACAGGAGAGGAGTATGAGAGTAGGGGGGGAGTGGACTAAGGGACAGGGAGACCGGAGGGAGTAGGAGGGAGTGGGGGGAGGGAGGGTGGATCCGGTTTGGCTCCTACCCCCTCATGGGCGTTGTTCTTGGACTTCAGCTACGTCTCTTTAGGCCTTAGGTGGTGTGTACGTACTTACGTATGTATGTATGTGTGTGTGTATGTACGTATGGCTCGGCTCCTTCTACCATATATGTCGACTCAGGCGCTGTTAATGGGAGAAAACTGGCTTGTGTGTGTTTTATCAATGTCTGGATTTTTTGTTGTTGTTTTCTTGAGGTTTAAGGCTAGTGGTGTGCTTCATTAATGTTTTTTTATATCTCTCTTTTCTCTCATCCTCTCTCTCTCTCTCTCTCTCTCTCTCTCTCTCTCTCTCTCTCTCTCTCTCTCTCTCTCTCTCTCTCCTCTCTCTTCTCTTTCTCTTTCTCTTTCTCTTTCTCTCTCCCTCCCTCCCTCCCTCCCTCTCCTCCCTCCTCTCCTCCCTCCCTCTCTCTCTCTCTCTCTCTCTTTCTCCTCTCTCTCCTCTCTCTCTCTCTCTTCTCTCTCTCTCTCTCTCTCTCTCTCTCTCTCTCTCTCTCTCTCTCTCTCACTCACTCACTCACTCACTCTCTCTCTCTCTCTCTCTCTCTCTCTCTCTCTCTCTCTCTCTCTCTCTCTCTCTCTCCTCCTTCTCTCTTTCCTCTCTTTCCTCTCTTTCCTCTCTTTCCTCTCTCTCCTCTCTCTCTCTCAATCTATCCTTCTACGCACACGAAATTCAGAATTTACAACTTAAGTCGACCATTCTTGGAAATCATTTCTGCCTGCGTTTGCGTGTAGTTCCAAGTGGCTTTCCGAGAAGGTGAATTTTGCCTTGACATAAACTCAGCCTCACCGGGAAGTGTTCAGTAAAAGAAGATTTAAATTATGAGCACCATAACAGGGTTAAGGATTGCTAGTCACGAGTGTTCAAAAATTTATTGTGATAGAGCAAAGGATGGAAATAAGGTTGATGAGGTAAACGATAACAATAATTAAAATCATGATAATAGTGATATTAGTACTACTATTGTCATTACTGTTACTATTATCATAATCATCATTCCCATTACTAGTATTATAGTTATCATTTTTATGACCATTATATATCATTATTGTTACTATTATCATTATCATGATCTTCACCATTACCATTACTATCACCATCACCATCGCCACCACCACGATCATCACCCTCACCATCATAACCACTATCACCATCACCACCACCATAATAATCACCACCATCATAATCATCACCACCACCATCATCATCACCACCACCACCATCCACATTATCCTCACATCACCACCACCATCTACATCATCAGCATCACCACCACCATCACAACCACTATTCATCATCACCATCATCACCATCATCACCATTAAATGAAGAGACTTTCCAACAACTAAAGCGAAGCAAAAGAAAATTGGCCTTGGATGATTTCCCCAGTGCAGGTTACACTCACCAACTATCTCTTAAGTAATATATGCTCGCTCGCTTAGTCAGACAAGGAAGTGTGTGTGTGTGTGTGTGTGTGAG